AATGATATCCTGTGTCAAGTCCGTGGGACTGCCTCCTGAGCCGCCACTGCCTGAAGCCGGTTCAGGAATCGGTGAAAGGCCTTGCGATTTCTCCTGCTCGCCTCCAAGTCCAGTGCCGCTATCGGGGTTGGATTCGAGCTCGCTGGGCTGCTGATTTTGCTGGCCTCCCAGCTCAGGCACCTGTGGCCCCTCGGCGGGCTCCTCCGGTGATGACCCAGGACCGTCAGTCGTTGGTAGAGGGATCGCAACCCCAGTTCCCGGCTGGCGGATTGGAAATTCGTCATCTGTTTTTATTGACGCCTTGGCCGAGCCCGGATTCCGGATCGGGAACTCGTCGTCTTCCGGACTCGTGGGTATCGGAATCGGAGCCGAGATGGTACCCCGGATCGACTTGTGCCGGGTCTTGGCACGGCCGGCGGTGGAGCCGGATTTCCCAAAAATGCTCGGCATGGCGGTTGGCGAAGGCTGGAGGTCCGTGACAAACAGCGGCAGGGCTATGGGAAGAGAAGAAAAAGGCGAATGTGAGCGGGCGAAGGTGGTTGACAAGGCTGTCGTCTACTCCTGGCCATCTGCGCACCACTAGCCAACCGTTGAGTCGACGCCTTGTTCCTTGGTGTGTCCTGTGTGGATGAGCTCGGCGGGGAATAATGAACCTATGATAACCTCTTTGACGTTCCACCGTTACAGAGTCCGCATTGCCAGCGATGCGGTTCCTTTCCCGGTGCCCGGAGCGAGTTGGTCCTGGTCAAAGTGGCGTTGGTGCCAGACCCCTCGTCAAGAAAGGAAACTGGTTGTGAGATGTGGTGGGACGGAGAAAGGTGGCGGCTTATGGAAAGAATGGATCCGGTCAGTTTATGGACGGCAAGTGGACGAAAAAGCTCAGCAGCACGGCACACCCTGGACTGGTGCATCAGGTATCATGCTGGACTCTGGCGAAGGGTTGGTCGACGCGAAGACGCGGGACTCAAACCAGCAGCACCAAGAGGTAAACAGCACACAAGATCGCGGGACCGGCTCCACGAGCGAAGAAAGCAGCACCAATGGTGGATATTAATGTCCAACATGCTGCGCTGACGAGGTCACCGGGGTCCCAAGCTTGTCGATGCAGGTGCAAGGATGGACACGACTGATGTGACGGTGATGGAGGGGCATGAGGGGCGTTTGGGGTCGCAGGGTGGGGAAGGGGTGTGAGGCTTGCCTCTCTCGGGATTCTAGTTCCTAAATGCGAGTCTATGTGTGTCCGTGCCTGCGTCCAGGGGGCCATCTGGAGAAGAAGAGCCTCACTTCATTCCAGGTTCCCCATGCGCTGTTAGGCTGTGTTGTCTTGCGAATGACCCGGGACGTTGTTTGACAAGTGAGGCCTGGCTCGACGATGTGGCCTCGCCGATAGAATACCGGTGGCGTTCTATGTTCTGCGATGTTACGGGCCGGCTGCAAGCATGAGAACCCCTCTCTTGCCCACCAACTCAACGCAATATACCTGGAAAAGAGCAGCTTGGAGTTGTGTCTCGGGCGCGTGCCTGCAGCTGCACCTTGGCAGAGCTGCATTGGTTCGAAGGGGCTGTCTCGGACGGTGAGCAGCCCGCAGTAGGCCGAATGCCACGCACGCTGAGTACACAAAGACAAGGCAGTCAGGGTAGACGGCAACAGATGGCGGGAAAGCCTTGCCGAGAATCGACAAAAAGCCTTGGGTTGGGGCTTGCTTCTTCGGTTGGCAGACACTGACTCGCCTCTGAATTGCAGGACCTCAGAAGAGGCAACCTAAGCGCATTGTTGAATCTCCCCGGGCTCAGCCTGTGCCGCTCTTGTTCATGCCCTCGCAGCTTTGCTTGGTCGCCGGGACGGGCAGACGGGCAGAGATGGCTGATGAAGACAACCTGGGAGCTTCTCAGGAAGAAGTGCTTGGATCAAGTGGCCAGTGCTGGAAGAGGAAGCCAATTGCGGGCCTAAATTAGCGCATCGCATCGCGTGGCCCCGATTGAGTCGAGACCCCTGATGCTGGTCGACACTATCCCTGCTGGGAATTGCATCCCTTTTGGCTGGGGTTGTTGGTATCACTAACGGAACAAGGAGAATTTTGTTTGTCTGTCGTAGACCTACCTGCACAGTGGGCCCCGGCCTTGTACGCGACTGTGGGAAAGAAACGGGGTGGTTTCTCGTACGATCTTCAGCGGTCGTACTTGCCCAAGGCCCAAGGCCCAAGGCGTGGGTTGCCCTTTCCTCTCCTCGGCGTTAGGGTTCATACGGTAGAGCCTTTCTGGAAGGCATTCTGTGGGGGCTCAATATCCAACTGGCTCAAAGTGGACCAAACACTCTGGACCTTGTCAAGCGAGTTTGATCCACGCCGCGGGACCCGAAAAAAGCTGCGAGCGGCCCCGGGCCATCTTATCATCGGGGATACATTTTTATGATCTTCTCTGTGACCAAACTCTTGATAACTTTCTGGGAGCCGGGCACATTCCAAAGTCCGCCGTCCGTCACCCGCCGCACCCACTGGAACCCCCAACCTCGCGTGCATCCGGTTGCTTCTCGTGATGAGGTCGCCGCCTCAAAGATGCAGCTCTCTGCCCCAAACGACACTAGCCGCGCACCTCCGCTGCGACCTCCTTGATACGTTGCTTCCGCCGTCTGCATGCGTGCGCATGCTCACTACAGGCAGAAGGTCTTGCCAACCAGGTCGGCGAATACTCAACTAGCCGCGAGACTGCATGCGTTGCTGCGCTGGATTCTGGAGCGCAAAAAATATGACACGGCGCACCCACCAATACCAGCTCGAGGACCACCCTCTGAGCGCGGCTGTTTACACGGCATGCAGGTGCGCTCGCGTCTTTGCACAGATTCGGCAGGAAACAGTCCGCTGGACAGTGACGCCGGAACCAGCATCGTCGAGAAATTCCCGGTCGATGAGCGGGCGCGCACGGCCATTCCGTTTGTCTGAAGGACTGGGCATGAACCCGAGGCCGATGAGACGCTATGATTGATTGACAAACCCCTGAACACTGCGCCGGCGCCCTGGAGGCCACGAAAGGGCAACATGTCACACAACATTACCGTCGTAGATATGAAACTTCGGACCAGTGTTAGCGAGATGCCGTGAAAACACGAAGCGAGCCTGCCATGGATAAGCAAGCACTTTGGGGCAACGGGTGCTCGAAGGATTGCGTTTGTTGGTTGCGGTTGAGTCGGATCGCGGGCAGCTCTCGGCCAGGAAAGGGGCAAGAGGTTGAGAGAGGAAGCCACCCCCGCTCTTGGCAATCTCGTCAGTGCTGTCTCCGCAGACAGGGAAGCTGAAACATCAAGGGCCAGGGTGCCAGGCCCGGCAAAGCCCCATTCGTCAAAACTCCACTTGTTCCTCCAACTTCAACGGCCGATCTGAGAAAAGACGAAAGAGATACGAGACGAGACGACGAACACACAAAAAAGAAAGAAGAAAAAGCCCCTTGGCAACGGTCGGTTTCGCCAGCAGATTACTGTACCCGGCCGGATATTCTTATTTTTGTTTCAACAATAGCCACAATCCTTGACCTGCTGCTGTCTGTGCATCTAATTTTTACAGTGGTGTTCGGCCCTTTTACACGAGATCTTTGCGGGGAACGCCACTCACTGTATCCCCACGCCAACAACCATTAAAGCGATCCGAGCAATCACAGCAAGAAGCGTATTCTCCGATAACTACACTACGGGGTACGGATGACCTTCGAGCCATCTCAACCGAAAGTGAGACAGCAACGGAACCAACGGAACCCATCTCGCATATGATTTGGATGGAGACCCCTGACTGCATCATTTTTGGCCGCTTCCATCGGAGCTTCTAGATCACTTCCGTGCAGCCGGCCCGGGGGCCGATGCATAAATCCAAGAGGCCGAGACTTTTACCCCGATATGCCGGCGCTCCGCTCCGTTTATGCATCCTGAGTGAGCGACGCCAGGTCCGGGTACCGGAGATCGGCATTTTCTTCTAGAAAGTCCATCCAGTCTTTCAGGAATTTACTGCCCCTGCGCGTACGAGTTAGCCATCTCAAAACAATGACAGGGTCTAGGAGAACTTACTTTTTCACCGTCTCAGAGTCTCCAATGACGGTCAACGAGCGCTTGGGCCGTGTCATGGCCACTGTAAGGATTGCATTAACACTCATCTCTCATCATTGTAGCCGCGGCGTGCACCGATAGAACGGGAGGAGATGCCGCTGAGGGGCATTATTCGCAGCAAGCCCAATCATTCATGGACGCCCGTCCGAACGCCCGCCTGATTGGAAATGTGAAAAGTGCCAACTCACCATTCAGCCTACGCTTCTCACCCAAGAAGCCCACCTCTCCGTCCGGGTTGCTCCGGACGAGGCTGACAATGACAGCCTCCTTCTCCCGGCCCTGGAAGCCGTCGACACTGCCTAGTTCGATACCGGGGAAGGCCTCCTTGAGCGGCGCAAGGACCGCGAGCTTGGTTCGTCCCAGGTTTTGTCAGCCCCCCCTGCTCATCATGCGCGCTAGTATAAATGCTCCCCCGCCGCATGGCATGAACGTCATCCCGCAAGGCAACCCCGCCCTCACGGCTCCAGCGATCATGCGAATATACGTAGGGGAGGCCAAAATAAGGGGTAGGGATTGTCACTGTTACGCACCTGCGCATTGTACGGTGTCACCACCGCGATGTCCTCGGGCTTCACCCCGGCGTCCACCAAGCTCTGCACGTGCTGCCTCACCAGCGCCGCCTCCATCTCGTTGCTCTTGCTGTCCCCGTAGAGGCTGCTCTTGGTGAGCTTCTTACTCCCGCCGCTGGCGTCCTGGTCGTCCTCGTTCTTCTCCGGGAAGTCGCCACCCTGCGTGTCGATGAATATGAGCGGCTCGGTCGTGTCGTCGGTGTCATCCACCTCGTAGGGCAGGTCTTTTAGAAGCCTCGCCTTGACGGCATCTGCGGCGATCAGTTTCCTTTCGTAGAGCTCGTCGGACGGGAACCGCATGATCTTCTCGTGCATCCGGTACTGGGTCGTGAGCATGCGCTTGATGGATGGGCCGTGTAGTTTCAGCAGGCGGTCGAACAAAGTCGTCTCCAGGGTGGCCCCCTTTACCACACCCTCCTCGCCATCAGTAGCGTCCTTCCCTTTCTTGCTGCTGCCCTTCTTCTTTAAATTCAGCGACTTGATCGTCGGCGGCAGCTGCAAGTGATCGCCCGCGCAGATGGCCTTGCTCGCGGCCAGCAGCGGCACCCAGCACTGGGCCTCGAGGGCCTGGCTGGCCTCATCAATAACAACGACATCAAACTGCTCGCCGCGCAGCTGGAACCCACCGGCGCCGTGCAGCGTTGCCAGCACAACCTTGCTCCCCGCGACCAAACTACTAACGCAGCGGCGCTCGCGCTCGCGGTACTCCTTGCGGAGGTCCTTGAGGTCGGCGTAGATGGCGCGGCGCTCGCGGGCGTTGCGCGTCTTGCGGATGGACGCCTGCTTGGCGTCCATCTCGGCGCGCACGTCCTTGACGATGGCGCCGGCCTCGGACGTGCGCGTGAGCACGTCGAGCGAGTGGTTGAGCACCGAGGGGAGGAGGCGTGCCGGGTGGCCGAGCCGGATCAGCGGGATCTTGTGCGGCGCGAGCCGCTCCACGATGTTGTCGACAGATATGTTGGACGGGCCGCACACGAGGACGCGGAGGTTGCGCTTGAGGAGTTGGAGGATCAGTTCGATGAGAGTGTGCGTTTTGCCGGTCTGCGTTGTGTTAGTATCTTCGACGTTGCCAAGTATGATAGAGGCTTGGGCTCACCCCCGGCGGTCCATGAATCAACCCAATCTCCCTCGATGCCAGAGCAAACCGGATGGCATCCTTTTGGCTATCATTAAGCGTCGGGTCAACCCACTCAATTTCGCCGACCTCCTCATCCCTTGTCAAGTCCGCCGCAACAGGTGACGGTGATGACAACCCGAACAGCACCCTAACAAAAGCCGAGTACTCCCTCTCCTCCATCTTGGCCAGCCTCTCCATCGTAGCATTCATCCTATCCCATCATCAGCATCCATCATCTCACCCAACGACCCTCCCCCAACCTTCCCCAAAAAACGACTCAACCACCTCAAAACTCACCTCCGAAAAGTAACATCATCCGCCACCTTCACGATCCACACCCTCTTCTCCCCCACCACCGCCGCCAACCCCTCCCCCTCCTCCTTCCCACCACCAGCACTCCCACCCCCCTCCTCCACCGCCACACTCACCATCTCGTTCGCCTCGGGGGCCAGCAAGGTGTTTATAGAAACCCTGGGCTCCAAGAGCGCCGGCGGTTGGGAGCCAAAAAAAAGCGTCATGTTACGTTTAGTTTCTCTTAGACAAATATTTTGTACTTCGCCGACAACCGGGCTCTCGGCCAATAATTGCCTAGAGTCACGCAATCCGAGCAGCCCGCACACGCGAGGACATGAGTCGCGGGCGGCGCACTTGGACCGCGTCCCACCAACGGGTGGGCAGGGCGGTCAGCCAGAACCTGCGAAGAAGGGCCCGGTGTGACATCACTCGTCGTACAGGGACCTG